GTTCGGAGAACCGGTAGCAAAACTCCCTGCCTCCCCCATGCCCAGCTGAACCCCACGATCATCAGAGGCTTTTTTTTTTACTTTTAAAAGCATTTTTTCTACAACCTCTTCGGCCAAAAAAATGCTTTTAAAAGTAAAAAAAAAAGCCTCTGATGAAGCATGCAGCTCAGCTGGAATCGTCAAAGGCTTTTAAAAGAAAAAAACCCTATTTTTCTTTTAAATGCCTCTGACGATCCCAGCTGAGTTTTTAAAAAAGCCTCTGCCATCAGGCAACTCAGCTGGGATCGTCAGAGCCTTTTGAAAGCATTTTTTTACAACAACTTCGCCGGAGAGGTTGTAGAAAAAATGGTTTTAAACGTAAAAAAAAAAAAAATTGGCCACGCCCACCCAGTCACATTAGCCCACCACCACCAAGCCACGCCCACAGAACCGGTAGTAACAAATTTTAGATTTCACCACTGGTTTTGTGGTTTTGTTGCAGCTGTAGCACCCAGAGCTGTGCTTAAGGTAGGTGGCCATGGAAACCTTTTATTTATTTATTTTTAACTTTTATTTTCCATTTTTCCAATTTACATAACAATAAGCATTTTTTAACAGTACTGTGTCATGTGTCTCTTACAGTTATCTACATTTATTTCTATACATTTTTGTTTCTCTGTTCTAACCACTTATACCACTTATCCCAAACCTCGTAAAATTCTGTTTCTTCCTTGCCTTTTATTTCTAATGTGAGCTTATACATCTCAGCACATTCTAATATCTTATGAGTAATCCTCTTGTTGGCTGGTATATTTTCAAGTTTCCAACATTGGGCATAAACAATTCGTGCTGCTGTTACTAAAGTTGCTTCTTTATCTTTTGATTAATTATTCCTAACAAAAATAATTCAGGTTTAAATTCAATTTGTCCTCCTGTTATCACCTGTAACCATCTCCTTATCTGTTCCCAATATTTCTTTGCTTTGGGGCATTGCCACCACATGTGATAGAATGTTCCGTCCTTATATTTACACTATGGAAATGGAAACCTGTTAAATGGGACCCTTTAGAACGCTATTTACTTTAAATATTTATTATTTCCTAAAAAAGTGATTTTCAACATACTGTTCTGGAGAAACCATTATTAGAGTGTAAAAAAGTTATTTTTTAAAAGCAATCAAATCTCTTGAGTTTTGGGTAGCAACAGTGCCCTCTCTTGGGACTTTTATTTTAAATTTTCCCAATCCAGTTTAATTCTCACTTGTATTTCAGGTAGTCCTTGACTTCCAACAGTTCATTTAGTGACCAAAGTTACAGCAGCACTGAAAAATGGATTTACGACCATGTTTCACAATTACGACCATTGCAGCCTCCCCGTGGTCACATGATCAAAATTCTCACTCTTGGCAACTGATTCATACTTACAAAGTGAGTGGGTAACCATAGTCACTGATGATGTTACCTAGTTTGCTAATGAAATGTTTACAAGAAAACAGGCAGCCCAGGGAGACCAAGGAACTCACAGTCCTCTGCCTTCTCCTTCTCCTTCTCCTTCTCCTCCTCCCCCTCACCCAAACCCCACACTCTTCTAGCACTGATGATGTTATCTAATTTGGTAATGAAATGTCTGCAAGGAAACAACAATGCCCAGAAAGCCTCCAGAACCCCAAGGTTAGAGGCAACATAAGAATTGTCCAATTTTGTTGGATCCAGACTGGAGTGAGGGACCCAGGACCCCTTGAGTGAGGGACCTCTGGTCTCCTTTTCCCTCCAAGAGACATGGATCCAATTTCCGGTCTTCTCTTTGTTTGCTTTGATTAGCCAGGTGGGGCAGAGGTCCAACCCACAAGATGGGGGGGGGTCTTGGCTCTCTTTTGGGGGAGCCACTGGCTGAAAAAAACCTCCCAGGTAACACCACAAGATGTCACTTTTGTCCTCTCCATAGGTTCTGTCTGTCTAGGCACCTGCCTGTCCTTGCTGCTTGTAGCAAATGTGAGTGGTGCTTTGCTATGGGCAAAATGCTGGGCCAGGAGATCCCAACTTGGTCGCTCTGGTCTTTCCAGCTGATCCTTCCCTCGAAGGATCTGGGATCTTTTGAGGGAAGCAGCTGGCTGATGTTCTGCAGAGAAATAATTGCACTTGGCTGCTTTGACTGCCACAAGGGAGGTTCAAATCTAGGCCAACCATTGAATCCGTTTCTTGTTTTCTGCTCTCAAGGTTCCTGGAATCTCTTTGGTTGCTTGATTTCCAGGAGATCTTCAGTAAACACAGGAACTTCAGTGCATTGGCAGGTGTTCAAGCCATTAGTGGTCTGAGATGGGCCATCTTAAGGACCATCTCCTCCCTGCAGGTCAGTGGTCCAGTTGACTCCATCATCACGAGGAAGGGATCTGTCCATCACAAATGGACTGGTCTCTTCATAAAAACCTCCAGTGACGAAGCCCCCACAACTTCTGGTGGCAAGCTGTTCCACTGGTTAATTGTCCTCACTGTCAGGAAATTCCTCCTTAGTTCCAGGTTGTTTCTCTCCTTGATGAGTTTCCACCCATTGCTTCTTCTCTTTGCCTTCTGGTGCCCTTCAAGGATTACAGGTAGTCCTCGACTTACAACGGTTTGTTTAGTGACCATTCAAAGTTACAACGCCACTGAAAAAAGTGCCTTATGACTGTTTTTCATACTTACGACCATTGTGACATCTCCTTGGTCATGTGCTCAAAATTCAGACGCTTGGCCAATGGCTCATATTTATGACGGTTGAAGTGTTCCAAGGTCATGTGATCCCTTTTTGCGACCTTCTGACAAGCAAAGTCAATGATGAAGCCAGATTCACTTAACAACATTACTAACTTAACAACTCTAGTGATTCACTTAACAACCATAGCAAGGAAAGTCGTAAAATGGAGCCAAGCTCACTTAACATCTGTCTTGCTTAACAACGGAAAGTTTGACCTCAGTTGTGGTCATAAGTCAAGGACAAGCTGTACCCAGAAATATCAGGATGATCTATGTGGGGTCTTCATCTCTGCAGCATTTTAAGGAGGGGGTGGCAGCCATTTGACATGGGCGATTTAATTAGTTTTCCTGCATGTTTCAGAGATTGGATCAGATTGTCCTTGCGATCCCTTCCAATGTTACAATTGCAGGAATCTATGACAGGTGGCAGAAGATCCGGAGAAGAAGACTGGAATGCAAAGATTGGTAGCCTTGGTAGTACAGTGGTCTAAGGCACCCTGTTATTAAGCTGGTTATTAAGACCAGCTGCCTGCAATTACTGCAGGTTCGAATCTCGCCAAGGCTCAAGGTTGACTCAGCCTTCCATCTTTTCTAAGGTAGGTAAATTGAGGACCCAGTTGTGGGGGCAATAAGCTGACTTTGTATAAATATACAAAAGGATGAAGGCTATTGCTGAGCACATTGTAAGCCGCCCTGAGTCTCCAGAGAAGGGCGGCATATAAATCAAATTAAAAAAAAAAAAAAAGATTGAGGCACCCAGATTTTATTTGCTGAAAATGTACAGTTTGGTACTGATTACGTTCCTCTATTTTTAGAGGTGACGATGATTTCTTGGTCATAATCAGCCATTTCCGTGTTTCTCAACCTTGACAAACTTAAGATGAGCAGACTTCAGCTCTCAGAATTCATGCTCTGGCTGGGGAATTCTGGGAGTTGAAGTCTGCTCATCTTCAAGTTGCCCAGGTTGAGAAACACTAAGCTAGTAAATTATTCGAGGGGAAAAAAAGGAGATCTGGGAGAGAAAGAGTTGAACCCTATTTGCAACTTCTCCATAACCCTCCCATGGAATCCTTTCCTGTTAAGGGTAAGTGCTGATAAAGGACTAGCTGTTTTCCCATCATGGAAGATCAGGAGATGCTGTGGCCAAGACAACGTGGACTTCCCGGGAGCTTTATCAAAAGCATCGTGCCTCCCGGTTGGCAAGGAAAGGAAGGGAACCAAAGTAGACAATTCATTTAGTAAAATTATTTATTAGATTTATATGTTGCCCATCTCACTGATCAGGGGACAGTGATGGTCAGGGTGGAATTGAGGGGCTTCCAGTTCAGCCATGGGCAGGATGACCAAAAGGGGAGAGATGGAGGGTGGAAGGAGTGGAAAGGAAGGGGGCAGATTGCACAGGGCGGGAAAACGTGGCATGACAACTGTCATACATGCACCTAAATTATGATCACGAAGCCGCAAAGAGGGTGCAACGGCCAGATTTTTCAGCACCATCCTAACTTTGAAGGGTTGCTAAACAAATGGTCATAATCTGAGGACTACCTATAATTTTTTCCCTGGCCCTAATCATAGAAAATGTTAGAAAAGAGATGGACGCCATCACAGTTTGACTTCAGAAGTTGTTGGAAGTCCATCACAGGATGTTTTTAAGAAAAAATTGGACAACTGCATATATGTCCGGAATGGTATAAGGGCCAGACTGTCCAACCTTGGATTTATTTAGATTTATGGACTTTAATTCCCAGAATTCCCCAGGCAGCATGGCACAGACTTTATAACACTCCAGACCGATGGATGCCCAGTCTCTTCCAGTGATGGAGCAGCCACGACTTGTTGGAACTGCAGTTGCAAAGCTGTGTGGTCAGGTGATGCTTCACTTAAGGACGGCTTCTCATAGCAACGGAAAGTCTGGGCCAGATTAGGGTTATAACCTGAGGACTACTGGTAAGATTAGTCGGGTTCTCCGGAGGAGGGAAGGGGTATAAAATCTGGCATTTCCCACCATAGTTTCTCTGAGATGATGAAGCACCTAAAACGAGGAGCAGAGTAATTCAACTCTGGTGTTTTTATTGATTTACTTGATTGATGCAGTCATCCATTTTAGGTTGACGTGACTCTTAAGTGGCTTACAATAAAAGTAAAGCACCACAAAACACAGGGTAAAAAAACCCAATAAAAATAGAAAGACATAGCAGCCGGATATAATCTAATCCAGGGATGTCCAATTTTGGCCACTTCAAGACCTGTGGACCTCAATTCCCAGAATTCCTCAGTCAGCCCTGCTGGCTGGGGAATTCTGAGAGTTGAAGTCCACAAGTCTTCAAGTGGCCAATCTTGGCCACTCCAGATTTAATCTATCATCCACATGACCAGGAGACCAGGTCCAACCCACGTCAAGGACCCCAGATTCGGGTACAAAGTTTTCCAGGCCTTATAAAAGGCCAACAGAGAGACGGCTAATCAGCAGGACTCCTTTGCGGTCCTGCCAGGTGACCCTCCCTAGTTGATGGTACCCAAAGATGGTCCTTCCTGCCTAAGTGGATAAGAAAGGTAGAATCAATTGGGAAAAGACGGTCCCTCAAGTAGCCTAGATTTAAGCCATGAAGGCCTTTAAAGGTGATAACCAGCACCTTGAATTAAACCTAGACACCAACGCACTCACAAAGCAGAGGTGTGAAGTATCTGGCACCAGTAACTCCTGCATTTTGCAACAGTTTGAAGCTTCCAGTTAACGCTTTTCTTCTCTGGATGTTGAAGCTCTGCAGGAAGGATGTGGGGACCAAAAGGCCTCTACTTCTGAACCTTCAACTTCAAGCAAGCAGTCCAAAGAGAAGGGCCCAGCCCTCCTCCTTCTGGTGCCCTCTGGCTTTGTGTGGGTTGCTCAGAACCTGGTCCAGCAGGTTCTCCTCCTCTCGTTGGTTATGGGAGTTTCCATCTCCACAAAAGGAGAACTTGGTTCTCTCAAAAAGGCAACCGGGGTTTCTTGATTGTTTCCTTGAAGACGTTTCTCTTCTCATCCAAGAAGCTTCTTTGGTTCTCTGGGTACCATCAACTAGGGAAGGTCAGCTGGCCGGATCCTTGCCAATATCCTTTCCCCTGAGATCAGATTATCTCCCTCGCTGTTGGCTTTTTGTAAAGCCTGGAAAACTTGACTTGGTGCCCGGGCCTGGCCATGGGTGAAGACCAATCTCCTGGTAATGTGGATGATAGGTTAAATCAGGGGTGCCCAACCTTGGCAACTTTTAAGTTCTGGTGGACTTCAACTCCCAGAATTCAGTCCTCAGAACTGAAGAAGTTTCTTGGATGAGAAGTGAAATGTTTTCAAGGAAAAAACCAAGAAACTCCAGTTGCCCTTTCAGAAAAAGCACTTTTGGGACAACCATGACCTGGATGGTGGAGAGTAGATGATAAGATGGTTCCTAATGGAGAGGGCTGGTCCAAAGGAGAGAGGGCTGCTGCTGGTCTCCTGAAGAGGTAGAGCAGGAACATCTGGATGGCTTTCTCCTATGTAACTATTGGGTTGTCCTGGTTGAGTTGTTAATTATGTGACTGTTGGGTTGTCCTGTGGAGTTCCTGGGACAAGAAAGGCTGAGAAGATGGGGCTGGTCATCACTGGCCAAAAAGCCTGCCTGCCATATCTGACCAGCCACCCACCCCCTTGCCAACGCTTGTCCTCAGGAGGGGTCGTAGTGGGTCAGGACTGAGCTCCGGGGGGAAGGGCTTGCCTGGGGAAAGGCCGGGTGGACGATGTCCATGGGATGGCTCATCCAGACATCAAAGACGGTCTTGTTGGGAGGCATGGCTTCCTCCAGACCCAGGTCCACCCCGGAGGAGGAAACCGGGCTCAGGGAGGACCGGGGCATCAGCTCCCAGTAGGCTGGGTGTGGGAAAGGCATGGGGCTGTAAGGGGGGAAGGCTGGGTTGGGGGAGAAGGGGGAGAAGGACAGCGTGTGGTTTTGGGGTGCCACCACCACATTGGGAGCCACACATGGGGTGTAGGAAGTGGGGAGCTGCTCCCAGAATGGGGTGGCGGGGGGCGGAGTGCCCTCCCTGGAGTCGGAGTCACTGGTCTCAGGAGCCGGCTGGATGATTCGGGGGCGCTTGGCCAAAATTGAGGTGCCAGCTCCCTTTTTGGGCTCCTCATTGGGGGACAAGGAGCTGAGGGAGGCAGGGCTGCTAGAGGATGAGAGGGATCGGAGCATGGGCAGAGGGCACGGGGCCCGCCAGGGGAGGACTGGGGCGCCCGAGGAGACCCGGAAGATGGGGACTGTGCCCCAGACTTCAGAGGCAGCTGTGGGGGTCTGCGATGGCCCACTCTTGGCCCTCGCTTTCCCCGAGAGACCCACACCCTGGAAGTCATGGAGCAAGGCATCGATGCTGAAGGGGCTGCTCTGACGGCCCCCTTCACTGCTTGGAAACCCACTCCCCTCCGGGGCAGGCCCATTGAGGGGAGGCGTGGGGGCTTTGAAAGCCCAGCCATGGTAGACAAAGGGAGCCAGGTCGACCGTGAAGGTCCTCTCCTCTTGACGGGAGACGGCCGTGTTCTGCAGCTTCAGAGCTTCTGGCGGAATGAGGTCCACGTCAACGGTCCAGAAGTTTCCCTTGGCCTTGGGCTTGGCGGGGTCTTTCAATACCTACAAGAGATGAAGAGGGTGCAGGGGGGAGGGGATCTTCTGAAGGCCTGTCCCAGAAGGAAACATCCCAGACTTCCTTCCAAGTCCACGGTTGCGTGGCGGTTGATGGGTGGCCGAGATCTCCTGGCCACCATCCCCAACCTTATCTGTTGGGGAAGAAAATGTAAGGAGCCACTGGTGCCAGTGGGAATTAGAAAACCTAGACTTAGTAGATGTGGGAGGAGGCCACCTGGCATTTCCCAGGTCCTCACCGCTGAACTGGGGTCTGCTGTGAAGCTGGCTTGTTTATTTACATACAGACATGATGTAGTGAAGCTCAGTCAAAGGAGTCTGGAGGATGACACTTTGCGATGGCTTAAAACAGGCACCTCCAACCTTGGCAACTTTTAAGACCTGTGGACTTCAACCCCCAGAATTTCCCTGCTGGCTGGGGAATTCTGGGAGTTGGAGTCCACAAGTCTCAAAGTTGCCAAAGCTGGACAGCCCTGTCCTAAAAGCTATATCCTTGATATAGAGCCTTGATAGTACAGTGGTCTACGCACCCTGTTATTAACACAGCTGCTTGCAATTACTGCAAGATCAAATCTCACCAGGCTCAAGGTTGACTCAGCCTTCCATCCTTTCTAAGGTGGGTAAAATGAGGACCCGGATTGTGGGGGCAATAAGCTGACTTTGTATAAATATACAAAAGTATGAAGGCTATTGCTTAGCGCATTGTAAGCCGCCCTGAGTCTCCGGAGAAGGGCGGCATATAAATCAAATTAAATATATATATATATATCCGAAAGGGATTCTCCTGCCCATCAAGTGGAAAATGCCCCAACTGGGCATCAAGTTAAAAGTTTTAAGGGCTTTCCTGAAACAAGGAGTGAAGGGGCAACACAACTCTCTGGGAGCAGCATCTTCCATTGGGGATGCTTTCTGTGCTTGGTTGTTTTTGTACAGATGTTTCAGGACCCAACTAAGTAACGTCATCAGTGGTAGAAGGGAGGAGGAGGAGGAAGAGGAGGAGGAGGAAGAATGTGGGGTCCTTGGTTCTCTCTGAGCTTGGTCGTTTTCCTGCAGACGTTTCATGGCCCAACTAGGGAACATCATCCCTGCTAGAAGATGCAAACCCACTCCCTTCTAGCTCTGATGATGTTCCCTAGTTGGGTTATGAGACGCCTGCAAGAAAACAACCAAGTCATAGAATACCAAGGACCCCTCATTTCAACCCTGAGCGATGTTCTAGAGATGTTCTACTGAGATGTTGGGTTGGGTGGAGTCGATTCCTGTTCTTCCTCTTGACAACCCAGCTCGATCCCATCCTGTCCCTGCTCTCCATGCTCAGCTCCGTGGTTGATCCAGGCCCAAGGATCTCTTGGAGGGTCCGGTTTCTGATAGCCCGTAGCCCACCAGGAAGGGTCTCAAAGCCTGTGCAGGCCATCAAAAGTGGCCTCTTGCAAGAAAGCTGCTTGGTGGGCATCCAGAAGGCAAGAGCAGAGACAGGCCCTACCTAGAAGGAGGGGTGGGTTTGGCCCAGCACAATACATTCGGGGAAGGGGGCAAGACGGCAGCCCCACCCGGGTCCTCTCACCTTCTGGAAGCAGTCGTTGGCCGAGAGATTGTGCCTGATGGAATCCTTCCAGCCCTGGTAGCCTTCTTTGAAGAAGGGGAAGAGGTTGCTGATCTCCTTGATGATCTGAAAGGCAGCGGGAGGGAGGAAAGGTGGGCTGCAGACTGATCGGGGAGGGGGGCATCGGCCCTCTGGGAGGAAGGAGAAGTGGGGGGTCCCCTCTCATTGGGGTTGGGAGTTGAGGCAACTTTCCCCTGGTGGAGAAGCTACGTTTCATACCAGCTAACAGGACTTTTGCCCAAAAAGAGCATTTTGTGTTATTTATTTATTTTCAAACAAGAATATGTGTCTATTTATTTAATATCTCGCCTTTGTTATTTTAATACATCCCTTAAAGCAGTGAATGTATTTAATCATCCTTCTTCCTTCTACATTCTCCACAACAACCCTGTGAGGTAGAGTGGGCTGAGGTAGAGAGGTAGAGAGGGAGACAGAAGGACTGGCCCCAAAACACCCAGGCGGCTTCCATGGCTGAGGCAAAACTAGAACTCATCATCTGCTGCTTTCAAGCCTGGTGCCTTCATCACTAGACCAAATGGCTTTCATGCCTAAGGCGGGACTAGAATTCTCAGTCGCCTGGTGATTGGCCCAAAGTCCCCAGAGGGCTTTCATCACTAAAGCAAGACTAGAACTCCCAGTCTCCTGGTGATTGGCCCAAAGTCACCCAGACGGCTTTCATGTCTAAGGTTGGACTAGAACTCCCAGTCTCCTGCTGATTGGCCCAAAGTCACCCAGATAGTTTTCATGCCCAAGGCGGGACTTAAACTCACTGTCCCTTGTTTTCTAACTCGAACCCTCCTGAACTTTAATAATGGCCTGTAAGACATTTGCTGTTCCGTCTTTTATGCTTCTGGCGGGACTAGAACTCCCAGTCTCCTGGTTTCTAGCCTGATGCCTCAACCTCTAAAGCAAGCTGGCTTTTCAGTTCTCTCACCTGCAAACATTGGACTCTTTTGAGCCTGGAAGGCTAAAATTGGTTGGGAAGGACAGTTTCTCCATGTCTTCCTGAAGCTATGGTTAAGTTATGGCTTAGCTGTGGTTTGTTGAAGAAGTGACAATGTCTTATTTCCAGAACAGAGCAAGCAATAAACCAGGGTTTCTTTCAGATTTCCATCTAAAGCTGGGGTCCCCAACCCCCGGTCTGTGGCTTGGCCCATTGGGGGACCCTCTGCTCCCCCCCCCCATGCCACCACCATTGGATAATAAGTCTTCCTGGAGGCAGAAAGGTTCAAGGACAGGCGAGCATGAGGATGGATGGATTGGTTTGTTTGTTTTCTTGTTTGTGTAATTGGGGATTTGTTTATCTATCTAATCTGTCTCTCTCTCTGTCTGTCTGTCTCTCTCTCTCCTATCCATCCATCCACCCACCTATCTATCCATCCATGTATCTCTCTGTCTCTGTTTGTCTGTCTATCTATCTATCCTGTCCGTCTATCTATCTATCTATCTATCTATCTATCTATCTATCTATCTATCTATCTTCTATCTATCTATTTTATATGGTGCCCAGAATTGTTCGTTGCCCCCCATAAATTTAATTTAAAAAAATTAAAAAAAGAAAGAAAGGTGGTCAGATGTCCTTGAAGTTGGGATTATTTTTTATTGGGGTGAGGGGAGGGAGAGGATCAGGGAATGGGGTGAGGGCTGCAAAAATCCCCCTCTGGAGAGCCTCTCCCTCCCCCTGCATTTGGGATCCTGGCTGGATCATCAAAGGAGCCTTCGCTTAGCACCTTCTAGAGACCCTCCTTGGCTCTTCTGCATTTCAGGAGGAGGGGAAACTGAGATTGAATTGATTGGCAGGCCAAATCTGCTCCCCCCATGCCCCATCTAAGCCAGCTCAGTTGACCCTTAGGCCATCTCTCTCTCCCCCCCTCTCTATATCTGTCTATCTGTCTATCTGTCTATCTGTCTATCTGTCTATCTATCTATCTATCTATCTATCTATCTATCTATCTATCTATCTATCTATCTATCTATCTATCTATCTATCTATCTATCGGCTGTCCTTCTCACCGCAGGGTAACTGGGTGGCTTACAATATTAAAATCTTAGAAATTTTTTCTGGCAAAGAAGCCGAAGGATGCTGGGAAGTGGTGAAAGGGACCCCAGCTATCTCCCCATTCCCCCCCCCCCAAGATGGCTCTAAGTCTAAGCCCCCAACTGGCCTGACCCACCTGGGAAGGATCTACACCCCCCCCATCCCACCCCAAGATCAGAGGCAGCTCAGGTGTGAATGGTTGGGAGGGAGAAGCTGGCAGCTCCTATCAGACTGGCCTGCAGCCCCCTCCCTTTCTGCTCCTTTCAGCAAGGCTCACAGCGGGAGGGCAGGTGACACCTTGGGAGCTTCAGGGCTTCTCCAATATGCAAACTTAGCATTTGTTCCTCATTGCCAAGCAAGCTGCCTCTGCTTCCCCCACCATCCCCCCAGGCATTGGGGTCTTTCAGCATATGCAAAATCCCTTTAAATACACTTAGCCCCTGCCTCCCCCCCCCAACAACTGTCTGCATTCTTCCTTTTCTTCTCTGCTTCTGAGAAAGTGCATGAGGACCTGGGAAGTCTTCGCAATACCCAAGTCAAGGTAAGTTCCAGACTTTGGAAAGACCTGAATCATTTCCAACCCCTTGACAGATGGAAATGGTTTTGCCAGGGTTTTCTTTTCTTTTCTTTTTTTGCCTTTAACCCAAAGGTACTTTTCAAAAGAGTGCAAAGAAGAGCAACTAAGACAATTAAAAACATAGGAAGACCGGTTGCAGGAACTGGGCATGGCCAGTCTAGAGAAAAGAAGGAGTAAGGGGGAACATAATAACAGTGCTCCAGTATTTGAGGGGCTGCCACGGAAGAAGAAGGGGTCAACTTATTCTCCAAAGCCCCTGAGGACAGGACAAGAAGCAACGGATGGAAACTCATCAAGGAGAGAAGCAACCTGGAATTAAGGAGAGACTTCCTAACAGGGAGAACAATTAACCAGTGGAACAACTTGCCACCAGAAGCTCTGGGTGTTTCATCACTGGAGGTCTTTAAGAAGAGACTGGACAGCCATTTGTCTGAAATGTTATAGGGTCTCCTGCCTGAGCAGGGGGTTGGACTAGAAGACCTCAAAGGTCCCTTCCACCGCTTATTCTGTTCTTTTAAAAGGCAACTGGACTTCCCATCCAAGAAAGCTGAAACTTTTCCAAGGAAAAAAGTTAGACAGTCCAGTTGCCTCTGGGACAACCCTGACCTTGAGGATGGAGGATGGAGAACAAGAGACATTCAGCCTCTTGTTAACATTTGAAGGCTGGCAAAGGGGTTCTCAGACGCCTCGTGATTAACATCCCAGGACTAAGAAGTGCTTAACAAAGAGATCAGCTGGGATCAGCCGGGCGTTGCCACCTATAATAAATCTTTCAGCTGGTTAGATCCCTCCAGACCCAGGGAGCTGTGTGTTACCTGCCTACGTATTCAAATCAGACCGGCAGGAATGCCTCTTTAAAATGTCCCGTTCTCCCATTCTTTCTGTGTGCCACAATAGACCACTGGCCCAGAGCAGCTGAGATCAGGAGGCAAAAATAGGAGCCCCATTTCAAAATTTCCTGGGCTTGCAGTGGCCCCAAGAGTCTGTGTAGCTCCTGGCTATCTTTTCTCAGGCACCCTGAGCCCTGATCACCCCTTGGTCTTCTTTCCTTCCAACCTGAACCTACCATCTTTGATGTCCTGCCTTACTTGGTCTGTTGGGTGGGCGGTTGGGAGTGTTGTGTGTGGGTGGGTGAGAGAGAGACAGAGACACACATTGAGGCTCTTCCTAGCTCAATTCGTGTCTTTATTTGCAAATTTTAGGATCACGCATATCTCTGTTGGATGGCTGGCCTCCCCCCCCCAATTGCAAAGAGAAGACCAGCAAACTGGTTCTATGGGGAGGGGGCTTTGGGACAGAATGCAATGCCACTGGGCAGAGAAGCTCTGGGGAGGAAGGGGGGGTATCCCAGAGGGTCTCTCTGCCTCCAAGCCAAGAGGTGTATTGGGGAAGGGGGGGGCTGGAATAAAATTGTTGGGACACCCCCCCCCCCCAGATTCAGAAAAAACTCCCCCCCCCCCCCAGACAACCTTGGCTTTTGGTGCCTTCCTGCTGAAGAGGAGAAGCTGGTGGGAGAGGCTTGGATAATGCTTAGATAAGAACTGGGGATTAGATCTAGATAATGGATTAAGTGAGGATTAGCTGCAGATAATCTCCCTCTGCCCATCCAGATAAGAAGGGGGGGGTTCTCCTCCCTTCCTGGGTTATTTGGGGTGGGGAGGCAGGGCAGGCACATTATCTGCTTCTCCCCTCCCCAGAGAAGCTGCCCAGCCCTGTTTGACCTGGGCGTCCCTCAAATGGGCATCCCTGCTCCTCCTCCAGCTTCTCTTTGCCAGCTCCCCCCCTCCCCACTTTGACGAGGGGGCACCCAGAACCCCACCAGAGGGGCAGGATGGACTCTCCAGGCATTGAGTCCCCCCCCCTCTCCAAAGCCCCAGCCCCACAACCGGCCTCCTGGTCCTTTTGCCTTACCTGGGACAAGGTGAGCTTCCGTTCTGGGGATGCCTGGATGACCAAGGCAATCATAGCCAGATAGGTGTAGGGGGGCTTGGGGTGCCGGTGGTATTTTTTCTTCTTCTTCCTCCCTCTCCTGCCTGAGGGGCCCTCGCCTGGGCCCTCGTCCCCTCCCTCTGCCGCCTCCAGCCCCTCCTCATCTAGGGGAGGAATCGGGGCCACAGCCGGGAGGTGGCTCCTGAGATCCAGACTGCCCTCCCCGGGCCCAGAGTGAAAGGAGGTCCAAGTGGCCATGGCCGGGGAGGGGGCCCAGCAGCCGGGCTCTGAGGCTCTGAATCTCTGCTGCTGCTACTGGTGTTGCTGGGATCCTGGGGAGGGGGAGAGGGGGGGAGGGAAGGGTGGAGGGCTGGGCATCCAGGCCTTCCTCATGTGGATGATGGACTCCCCCCCAGACCCCCTGGGGTGGCAGGGAGGAGGGGCCGGGGCTGGAGGGGCGGGCTGGGGGGAGTGGGGAAAGGGCCACTTAGGGGTGGGCTCAGCTCTCCTCCTCCAATGGCCTCCTTGCCATTTCCCTCTCTCTGGAAGGGCTCAGCATGGGCTCCCAGGACAAGGGGCTGCCTGGCTGGGATGGGGGTCCTTGGACTGACCTTGGACCCCTCACTCTCTTGGGCAAGGAGGCTGAAGAAGCTGCATCTCAGGAGGCCGGTCGCTTGCGGCTGCAGCTTGGCCACTCCCGGCCATGAGGATGATGATGGTAGGATGATAGGATGAAGATAATATGTTGATGATACGATGAAGATTGATGATGAAGATGAAGAGATGAAGATGATGAAGATAACACACTTACGACCGTTGCAGAATCCCCCACGGTGGCAGGGGATCAATATTCGGACGCTTGCCACCTGGTTCATATTTACGACGGCTGCAGTTGTCCTGGGGTCACATGTTCCTCTTTTGCGATCTTTGTTCTGACCAACAAAGTCAATACAGGTTCATTTAACGACCGTGGCAAGAAAGTTTGTAACATGGGACAAAACCCACAACTGCCGTCTTTGTGTAGAAGCAGAGGCTTTGGGCTCCATTGTAGTCGTAAGTTGAGGACTATCTGTAGCCCTTGTTTACGGCTTCGCACAAGGTTTTGTAAAGTAGATGTAAGTCAGTGTTTCTCAACCCTGGGAATTGAAGTCCACCCATCTTCAAGCTTCCAAGGTTGAGAAACACTGATGTAGGTGAACTTTGACTTATGACCAGCGCTGAGTCCAAAATTGATGTTCCTGACGGAGTTAAGAGAGTTATGCCCCGTTTTACAACCTTTCTTGCCACAGTTGTTAAGCGAGTCACATTGGTTCTTGAGTGATTCTGGCTTCCCCATGGACACTGCTTGTCAGACGGTCACAAAAGGGGATCACGTGACCCAGAGGTGGATTTCAGCAGGTTCTGACCGGTTCTGCAGAACCCGTAGCGGAAATTTTGAGTAGTTCGGAGAAGTGGCAAATACCACCTCTGGCTGGCCCCAGGAGTGGGGAGGGAATGGGGATTTTGCAGTATCCTTCCCCCAGGAGTGGGGAGGGAATGGGGTTTTTGCAGTATCTTTCCCCTGGAGTGGGGAGGGAATGGGGATTTTGCAGTATCCTTCCCTGAGGAGTTGGGAGGGAATGGGGATTTTGCAGTATCCTTCCCCACCACGCCCACCAAGCCACGCCCACAGATTTTTTGAAACCCACCACTGACGTGACCCCAGAACACTGCAATTGTCATAAATACGAATCAGTTGCCAGCTGTCTGAATGTTGATCATGTGACCACGGGGATGCTACAACGGTCATAAGTGTGAAAACTGGTCATAAATCATTTTTTTCAGTGCCGTTGTAACTTTGAACAGTCACTAAGCGAACCATTATAAGTAGAGGACTACCTGTAAAAGGGTTTTGGTGAAAACTGGAAGTTACTACTGGTTTTCTGCAAAAGTGCGCCATGGGGAACAAGGGGTTCTGCGGTGTTCGTTTTATGACTGAGGTGCTCTCTTAATGACCGGTGCAAAAAAGGGTCATAAAATCAACCCACATCACGGCAGACGATTGCAACGGGCAGTCCCCGATGGTTGTAAGTCAGCGGTCTCCAGCCTTTCCGGCTTTCCGGACTGGCTGGAGGGTGGGGTTGGGGGGTGAGGGGATGGTTCTGCACGCACAAACAGCCACCGCTCACAAAAATGGAGTTGTGCACTTGTGCTCCCCCACCCGCTGTGTGTGCCAGTGGAGCCGTGCCCGTGCTTGCCCGCCGCTTCTGCGGTCCGGTTCTTGTGATATGTCGAGGACTCTGCTCCCCTTCCTGCAACCAGAGATGACCCTGTGCGGTTTCTGGAAGGATCAGGAAACATCAATAAAGGAGAATATTAGTAGCTCAGGGATGAAATGAGGGGTCCCTGGGGGCTCTCTGAGTTTGGCGGCTTTCTTGCAGGCGTTTCACGACCCAACAAGGGAACATCATCAGTACTTGAGTGTGCAGTTTGCAAGGGGGGAGGGAGGAGGAGGAAGGGGACGACAACTATGGGGTTCTTGGTGCTTGGCTGTTTTCTTGCAGACATTTCATGACCCAGCTAGGTAAGGTCATCAGTGGCAGAAGGGAGTGGGGTTTCAGGAAAGGAGGAAGAGGAGGAGGAGAACTGTGGGGTCCTTGTTGCTGATCCAGCTAGGTGACATCATCAGTGCTGGAAGGGTTTCAGGAGAGGAGGACTGTGGGGCCCTTGGCACTCTCTGAGCGTGCTTGTTTTCTTGGAGACGTTTCATAACCCAGGTAGGTAACGTCATCCGTGCTACTAAGGAGTGGGATTTGCTGAGAGCAATTCATCTTTGGAATTAGTTACCACAGGCTGGATCATAACCAAGATTTATTCTTCAGACTACCCTGAAGCCCATTATTTTTTCCTTGAGAAGATCCATTTTGCAGAGCTCAGCCAGGGCCTTCCTGCCCGCCCAGGCGTCCCCCCTCCCCCCCCGCCACCCCCTTCCTCTCAGAAGCAGACCTGTGCGGAGGGGAGCTTCTGCTTCCAGCCCAGGGCCCCAGGTGCCAGCTGCTGCCCCTTGTCCCACGGATCCCACGTGCAGGCCAGCACCGGCCCCTCTGGGAGGTCTGTGCCCCCCGTTTGTCAACGCCCCGTGGCGTACTGTGACAGCAACCCAACTTGGCCATCAGAGTTGGGAGGGGGCCCGGGGACAATGCTCGATGCCATCCTGCTGGCCCCTCTGCCCCTTGCAAAAGACCAGCCCGACCTGCCCTGTCGGGGGGCAGCTTCCTGCTGGTGTCGAGGCAAAGACTCTCCGGTGGCTCCCTTCGCCCCGGCACTAGCTCCGTCTTCGCAGCCTGTCCAGAAAACTGGGTTGCTTTCCCACCGTCTCCCCTTCCTTCCTGCGCCGGACACGCTCCTCCTGCTTCTTCTCCGGCGAGGCTTGTGCTTTTGCGGGGCCACTGCCCGGGGCCCCCCGCTTGGGCTCCCCGTGACTCGTGGGCGCCCGGCGCTTCCTCTCCGGGTCCTGCTGCAGAGCGGCCTGGAGCGCCTTCTCCCTCTCGGCGATCTTGGCTTCCCGCAGGGACCGTCGCTCAAAGGCCTCCACGATGCGGGGCACCCGGTTCTCTGCCTGCAGCCGGGCGGCCACTTGCTCCGCGGACAGGTCCGGCCCTTCCTTGCCGGACAGCAGCTGGACGCGGGGCTGCTGCCGTTCGCAGAAGGGGCAGGAGCAGGTGGCTGGGGAGGTGCTGGTGTCGTCACAGGGCAGGAGGCGTACGGCCGGCTGCAGGGGGGAGAGGAAAGGAGGAGAGGTTGCAGGATGCTGCCCCAGGGTTTGTAAATCCTGGGGGAGAAGTGGGGGGCCCTTTGGGGAGGGGCTGTGCGATGCCCTCGCTCCCCTGAGGATGGTATCTCGGAGTGTCTCTTAATTTGGGGTCAGAAATTCTCTCTTGGCACCTGAACCCAACTCCCGATCTCCACATGGGGGTGCCAACCTGGCTTTCTTGGCAGCCAATTCTTTCCGACACCTCGCACAGGCAGTCCTCGACTTACGACCACAATAGAACTGAAAATTTTATGTTGGTAAGCGAGACCGTCGTTAAGTGAGCTTTGCCCCATCTTACGACCTTCCTTGCCTCAGTCGATAAATTAGCCACATGGTTGTTAAGTGACTCTGGCATCCCCGCGGACTTCACTTGTCAGGAAGTCACCAAAGGGGATCGCCTGACCCCAGGATGCTGCGACCGTCATAAGTATGAGTCAGTTGCCAAGCGTCCAAATTTGGATCACATGACCACGGGGATGCCGCAACGGTCGTAAGTCATAAGGCACTTTTAACAGTGCTGTTGTAACTTTGAGCGGTCACTAAATGGGCCATTTTAAGTCAAGGACCACCTTACGCCCCTTTACCCCTCCCCCTCTGGAGTCTCTTCCACGCTAAACACATGCTCCACCCCCGACCCCCCCCTTGTTTTCTCTGAAGGGACGGATACCCTCACCGGATGCTTGGGACTTTCTTCGTGGCGGCTTTTCCTCGGGGGTCTGGCCTCAGCAGGGACCCCCCGACTCTGGTGGTCTCCAGTGGCCTCCGGGGCCCGGGCCTCTCCTTGCCTCTGTGCTGGGCAGCCATAGACAGGCCGTTGCCCCCGAGATCCCGGTCCTGCCCGTTTGGGGGTTCTGTGCTTCTCGTGCCAGCGATGGGGGGCCGAGTGGCTATCCAGGGGGGTTTCCTCCAGCCACCGCTGCACCTTGGCGATTCGGTCGGGGACCTGTGGCTGGCCAGGCGGCCGCACCCCATTCTTGTGTGGGGAAAGGCTGGTGCTGCCCCCCTCCTCCTCCTGCAGCGGGGCCCAGGTGCCCCCTTTGCCCACTGGCTTGTCCTGATTAAAAGCCTGGCATGCTTGGCAGCGCTGAATGTGGCTGATGCGGCACTGGGGCAGGATCCTGGCCGAGCTGCTGGCGCTCGTGGAGAGCCGGCTGCCCTCCTGCTGGCGGGAGAGACCGTCCGAAGCCTGGCCTTTGCCCACCGCCCTGTGCCCGGGGCATCTTAGCCAGCGTTTGCACCCGGGGCCATAATTGTCACGAGAACTATCAGCCTGCTCCATCGCCAGGTTCCCGTGGGCTGCCCGCCGGGGATTCTGCCCGCCAGCTCCTTGCTGGTGGCTGGCAGGTCCGTTCTGGGCAGCCCTCCAGGCCGGGTTGGAACTGGGGGGCTCTTCCTGGGCACCGTCCGTGTCCGAGAGGTGGGCGGTATCGCTAGCCCAAGCTTTGAGCTTTTCCGAGAAGAAGCT